TTTTATCCCGCCGAAGAAGGGACAACTGCCCGGTGGTGAAATTCGTCCGAAAGTGGACAACGGTAGTCGGCTGGTTGTGGCCTAGCTGCAGCGTACTAGAATACTTGGGCGGTGTTGGGACCGGAGCGGCTCGGCAACGGGAGCTCGTGAGGGCGCGTGTATTGACAGTTCGTGGCGGCGCTGTAGTCGAGTTATCCGGAAAAAATCACTCAGTTCGCCTTTTTTTTTCACTTTGAGCGGTGCACGTGTCGGTACCACGATTTTATACACTCCGTTTCACCTTATGTTGTACCATAGCAAAGGCTAGAAGCGCGAGCTCATAGCGTTGGTAGCTGCCCTTGGTGCACGAGAGCTTGTTCCGCGGAAATGTATCCTGGAGCAAGGAGCTCGCGCTTGTAGCCTTTCCCGCGATACGACACGAGGTGAAACAGAGTATAGGGCACATAAAAAAAATCGGTATTTTCAATTTTTTTTTAATTTTTGCGGTAGGCAAAGGGTTACTTAACGGTTTAATTGGCAATGTTGCAATTGGGACTTTAAAGGGAGCCATTAGTAAAGGCCAACCTAATTTAGAAAGTTCGCGAACAAACAACGTGCTTTGAGACATTCATCGCTAAAAATTTCCCTTTCTTCGCTTAATTAAAAAACCGCGCGCTGAAAGCGCGAATGAGGTTGTGCTGATACTGATGCGTAGAAGAATGACACAGTTGTTTCCGTCCCCTCGTCACTAACTCGACAGCGTGTCTTCGGTGGACTCGCCGGCGCCACACATCAAGACGACTAAGTCACTATTCTACGTATTATTTTACTAACGCGGTTTCTGAATCAAGCGCAGAAAGGCAAACTTTTACGATAAATTTTGCGAAACTTGTTGGCCTTTTCGCGAATTGTCGAAATTGTGTTTGCCTTTATTAATGACTCCTTTTCAAACTGTAATTGCACCATGGCCAATTAGGCCGTTAATAAACAAGTTAGCTAACAGATTTTGGTTAATTACTAAACATTGCAAACGGTTATTCACCCATTTATTGCCCACCGAGCACTACAGGTATAACGAAAAGCGGCTTCCCCATATCTGCCACATCCTTTTTTTGTAAAATACGTAAAGTTATGTAGAGAATAAAACTGAAAAACCCTGTATGTCTGCGGGAACCAGATACGCCCCCTGTGGAACTATGGGTCTTTCCCTGCGAATACCCAGCTCAGGCGAGACTTGCCTGGTTGTCAGAAAGCAGCTGTCGGCTAAATGTATTGTTATGAGCGTGTAAGTTTCAGACGTTTTACCCTCAAGAGGATAATGCGCTGCATATTGTAACCATATATGCGCTGTACATTGAAATTATTATTTCAATGCCGTGCTGTAAACTATTACAACTTTTTCCTGGCCTGATCTACCTGTGCTCATGTTTTCTGCTTTAAATAATGTGAAATAATTGCTTGTTTTCTTTGAATCTTATAAAGCATTACTTGTTCAGCCCACGTTGTCTCAGTTTTTGGACTTAAGCTAAATCTGAAAACACGTGATAAAAATTGTCACGGCTTATAAGCCATTTCTTACAAGTGAACGTCGGGTGGTCCTCGGATGGTCGTGGCAGCCAGGAAGAAATAAAAGATTCTCACCCCTTTGCGACCGTCGCTTGGGTGGTTCGTCGCATAAATGAACACAAGTATGAGTGACAAGTGAAGCGAGCTGATTAAGGTCAAGAAAAAGAAGACGGGCAGGAAAGAAGAGAAAGAAGTTAACCTGGTATTAAAAACATACTAAAACAATCTCGGACTTTAGTATGTGCCGTTTCGTTCCATGATAAAATAAGATAGGAAAAAAAAACTGTTTCCGAGTTTCAGACATTCTTTTCAAATATCTAATGTTCGGTCTTGCGAACAAGGAAATGGGCATTTCCTTTAAAATGCTCACCATTCGACAAACCAAAAGTCGCAGCTAATTCTACGCTGAAACAACTTGCAATCCGCTTCTTTCAAGTCGCAATTGTTTGTATGTAAAGGAAGGGTAATGTAGTTTGTACCGTCCAATACATTGAAGCATCATGTTGCTAACGATCGTACCGCAGCAATATTTATTGCGCGAGACTGATTTTAGTTTGCGGCTATTTCGTCCGTTTCAAATCGCGCGCCACAAAGTTGGTATTATACGTCACGTAGTGGCTGCTATACGTCACGGAGTGACGTATAACAGACATTCCGCGTGCGTCGAAAGAGCGCGAGTTTCCAATGTGGAAAAGTTGTGGCTGACTATGTTACGTCCTGTGGCGTAAATATTGCTACAACAAATTTGTTTTTTTGCGGAAGATTTGTTTTGTGACATGCTTGTCCCATGTAGGATGTTCACTACTGCGTGGTGGACGTGCACCACGCAGTAGTGATACACGACAAAACGTCGGTACGATGCTCATCCAGATCGAAACGGCCAGGAATGGGGATTGAACCCAGGATTCCTGGGTTTAATCCCTGCGCTGTAACTAACAAACCACTTAGATTAATTAACTTCAACGCTAGAATTATTGTAAATAAAACGGATGAATTCGAAGATATAATTATCAGTTATGACCTTGATGTAATATTAGTTACATAAGCTTGGCTCTGGGATAGTATATCTGACTCGAATATTGCCAAGCGCGTCGCTGAGCGGGCGCGTACACGGACGAGTGGTTACCGCGCTAGGGTGTCGCGCGGAGCGCGGTAACCACTCGGCCACGTACGCGCTCGCTCGGCGACACGCATGGCAATATTGTTTCACAGTCTAATAAAATGGTACGAAAAGACCGTTCCTACCGGGGCGAAGGGGCCGCAATCATTATCAAAGATGGCATTGATTTTCTCCAGCTAAATACAAAGGTCATATCCTAGGCATTACGAGTGAAACGTTTTTTCTATACCTCATCTATTTTTGTAGGAGCTGTCTATATGACACCAAGTTCTGACATAGAGGTGGTGTACGAATTGCAGGACTTCCTCCAGGAAAAATTTAAGAATTTTACGGAAATAATTAGGGGGGGGGGGGGGGGGGGGGACTTCAACCATCCAAACATTTGACGGAGTGTTTACAGGAGGCTACTCCTGTAAACCTCCGACTCCGCTCCGAACTAGCCTCCTGTAAACACTCCGATATCTTAAAAGATATTTCGTTCAAATTTAACCTGACAAAAGTAGTGTCAAGCCCCACTCGCATAACTGAATATACTTGTTCAATTCTTCATCTTATTTTTGTTTATCGTTGTCTTTTTGTTGCCGACGAGCACTGTGTGGTCACATAGGGCTTATTGATTCGACCATTGCATGGTTACTCTTGATTGCCCGGGACTTGTTCCCACTCACTCTCGTGATAAGATGGCGGAGTTTAGGGACTACAATAGAGCTCAAGCCGAAATCATGTTGGATTACCTCGAGCTATCGTTCAACAAACTTGCCTATAGGGCTTGAATTCCAGACTGCGATGTAGATCAATTATCATTCACTTTTCAAGTACGGTGCAGGCATTTTTAAAAAGGTTCGTGCACTCTCGTGAAAAACAAATAGAAGAGAATAGCACATGGATCACGAGATATTTCACAGATCAAAAGGAAATCAAATAGATCGAGCAGAAAATACGGAAGCGAAATAGAATTGACTGCCTTAAGTTAAAAATTAAGATCATTCGCAAGTTTCACGACCTATAGGGGGCGGACTGGTGCCTATCAAAATGGTTATCTTCTGGATGATCGTCGTAGAACTGCGGTGCGAGGCTGGGTGTGCGACGCGTAAGTAATTCTAGTTTTGCCACATACGCGCAGCGTTAGAGTCTTACGTCATTTTTCACGCCAGGAAGGTATAGGCAAGCCCATTTATTATGAGGCCGATCATCCAGGAGCTAGGGAGCGCGATTCTCACACCGCGGTACCACCATCGCTGAGAGTGGTGAATTAAATAAAAATTCTAAATATTAGTACTATGTCGTTAAATTGTCAAACTTCGTAACGATTCTCACAAGGTTTGGAGGCCTGTATCAAATTCAAGACACCCAGTTATTAAGATCATTAATTGTGAGAGAGAACTAGTGTACAGTAATTCAATTGCCAATTATTTAATGGCTACTTTGCTTCTGTACACACCACAAAAGACAACTTCCTTCCTGATTTTCCGTTAAACTCGCTCAAGGTGCCAGACATAAAATTATCACAAAAAAAGAATTTTTGCCGCGTATACAAAAAAAAAGTATTGTGGTCCAGATGACATTCTTAACGTTGTTTTTAAAAAGGTACGCAGATTAGTGCTATATTTTAATTTTTTTTTACAGCAAATCGCTAGAAAGATATAACTCCCCAAAACCACATGTCGACGTTAAAAGTCCACAGTCGTCGAGCTCGCGATGCGAACGTTTACAAGCGACTTGAGAGCTGTTGGATATAACGTACTAGATAGCTAATTTGCATATCAAAAACTAAAATTAAAACAAAACACTGAGGTTTTGCAGCAGGGCCAAAAACAAAAACGTTGATTGTCTTATTGTAGCCTTTTGTGTGTATATTAGCTATCATAATAAATTGTATCGCTCGACTATCAAGCCGCTCGTGAAATTCGGTATCGTCGGTTCGACCTCGGTGAACATAACGTTGCATTGTTCTTTTGGGGTGTTACATATGAGACAATGGGTGTACCCCTTACACCCCCTAGTTCTAAGAGTGTATCTAATAATACTAACGAAGGCTGACTCACAAGGGTTGCTCCCTTTTTATTCATACTTGCCACGAGCAATGGGAATGAAAGAGCGCCGTTTAAACGGGAGGGTTTTGCTAACACGCTTGGACGCATTTTTCTAGATCCTCGCACATAAAAGCTTTGCTGTAAAAATGCTATGACCGATATAAAAAAAAAAAACGCAACCTTGTATAATCCCCACCTTTTGGTAGTGCGTAAAGCGTAAAATATATTATGTTAAACACGATTTCTTCGCGGTCTATTTTCCGAAAAATGTGTTACATCTCACGCTGAGACGCTGAACTCACTCCATGATGCAGTGTGCCGCGGTGTCGACGAATTGTTTGTTGATGATGGATCCTCCGCAGATGTGGCCTAAGTCGAGGTTCGGGAGCCAGACGAGGTGAAGAGAAATCTGCCAGGGGAACTCCAGCTGCCCGGCGGTCTTCCCGCCTACAATCTGGGCTGCGCCCCTTGCCGCCGGTCCTCGAACTCCACAAGCTTCGTAGCGGAGAGAGAAAGAAATCGCATGGCTAAGACATTTCGTCAAATCGAATAAAAATGCAACAGCATTCCACGGAGCTTTACAGCAGTAGCTGTTAATGTCCCTTCAGGCAAAAAGAAAAAAAAAAAAAAGATCATGTACGAACACACAGCCCTGCAAAGCCCCACTCTACAACAAAGGCACTGCTCTCCCTCTCCCCGTCGTTTCGCACATATGACAAGGCTCTCTCTTGCTCCTCGCCCCCCTTCACCCCTGTGGGCCTTCGACGTTTCGAAAAACTTACGTTACCAAGAGGAGACCGCTCCGTTCTCGTGTCTCTTTGCTATACACTCTTGTGATTGCTTTGATCATTCTGATAATCACCACGTGATAAATGATAAGACAATTGAGGATAACACATATTCATTATTAGTTATTAATGATGAAAGATATGATAAACAGTGTCACATTTTCACGTGCTGCAAGTTTTGTTTAACTAAAGGTCATTGCGCCGTCGTCACCGATCATTAACCAACACACCGTTTATTAAGCGCGTGAGCGGGCTTGTTGGTTACATCGCGATTTCGGTCTGTGAGCTGTTTTGTTAGGGCTATACAACCGAAACCTACCGCCGGCGTGGCAAACAGCGCTTTTAAATAATAATAATTGGGTTGTGTGTATATTTACACAGCCTAGAACTTGGTCTGCCTCACAGGGGCGACGAGTCTCCCAGCTGTAGATGAGCAATTTAGCCAGTGCAGTACAACCGCTAGCCTGGGGTCTTTAACGTGAACCACGCAGTAGTGATACACGACCGCACGCCGGTACGATGCTCATCCAGATCGAAACGGGCAGGGGTGGGGCTCGAACCCAGGATCCCTGGGTTCTGCAGCGCGAGCTTTCGTTGCACGTGCTCCGGGTTCTGCAGCTCGAGCTTTCGTTCCACGTGCTCCGAGCTGGTGTGCGCTAGAGCCACTCTATATGGCAGCGTTGCTGCCAGAGTAGCGACACGACGCAAAATTATCTAGATGCACGACGCCAGAAGCGCTGATAGTGGTCTCCATTTTGGGCCTGGGAGGTTGCCATGGTAACCGTGCTTCTAGCGACGCCGGGCGGCAACGTACCTTTGTAGTCTAGTTGATATCTCCATTCGTTCATTGAAAAGTGGTATAAGACGCTTGGCATCGCGGTACGGCAAGAACCTCTGGAGGAACGGTGCCTGTTTTTTCTGAAAAGTGAGACGATTTGCACCCAGGGACTGTCGGGCGTCGAGAGCTGCTATGGTATCGTACGTGCACGGACAAGGCTAGTGGTTTTCGGCGCCGCCGGGATGGCGGCCGCTTCGTGGGACGAACGCACCGTCCTAGTGCTTTCGGACTTCGCTTCGATGGAACAAAATCCGATTACGCCGTCCGCGACAGGACGATTGGCTCGGAACATGACTGCTGCTCGTCTGCCCTATAGTGAGCGAGTATATATGCTTAGCATCATACTTCTTCATGACCCGATCATCCCTTCAAGATGAGATTTTCTCACCGACTGGTGAGGAACGACGTCGACGGGGTTCAACCGTTCAACCAAGAAGGACGGCATGGTGGTCTCTAGGGAATTGTTGATGCCATCAAAAGAGACGGACGCCGGATATGAGGTGTTCTTGCCGACAGGCCAAATGGTCGTTCGGACGTTTACCGGCATTTAAAAAGTCAATATTTTTATCTGGTTTAGCACACATATCCGTGTTAAAGGGGCCACGAATTTATTTTTAAACTTCTTCTTCCTTACCTGTAATCCTCAACTCAGAAGAGAACTGTGAAATCACGCAGTGGCACCGGTGCTATGACCCCAACCTTTCACCGTGCTTCTTAAGCACACTGTAGAACTTGGCATTCGCAAGTATTGATAAGTTCCGTCAGGGCACTCATCCGCCAGAAACGCGAATTCAAATATCCATGGACGAATTGATTGCTGACGAGCGCATAGATCCGAGCGACGCAGTTTTCGTGTCCAATGCGTGAGTTGGGGTCGGCTGACGTCATTTTGGCCTTTGTAGGCATTGTAAAAAGGATATTTAGAACCATACACACATGATGATAACGTCATAGCACACTGACATTAAGGAGCACACAACGGGCCCAGCTACAGAAAATAAATATTACACTCGTAAGAAATAAATACGTCTGTAACTTGTTAATTACAAAGACGAACACAACTCTGAGCATCTAAGTTTAATAGTATGTGTTGATGCATTGTCATATAGCAGGACATTTCATATACGTCACTTGAGCAAACGCCAGCTTTTCACTTGAGAAACAAACCAAAAAACACTGCGATCAAATTCAAGCTATTGCAACGAAAGCAAGTTATATCGAAATCTTCAGAACTGCATATTCGTAGAATTAGCGATTAGTAAAAAAGGTTAAAGATCACAGGAGCTTCCTCGCTAAAAAAATGCTGATTATTCGGTGACCCAGAGCTGAAACAATTTCTCCTAGGCCCTACACGCGCCGTATACCTTTCGTTATGATTCTCAGAAATTCAGACTTTCAAAGGAAGCTAGAAAAATGCGAAAATTTTATATTAAAAGCTATGTGGAGCGCAAGTTCGTCTGCTTCTTTTTGCAGGGGTTGTGGTGACGTCAGTACGCCGAGATCTGAGTGTCTCCGATTGAAGGAGAGTGGGCAGACCTAAAAGCAAGCTGCCTTGACGTCTACCCACTATTCTTTATTCAGAACCAATCAGAGCTCGGCATTCTGACGTCACCACAACCCCTACCAAAAGAAGCAGACGAACTTGCGTTGCGCATATCGTAAAATCGCTGATTAGTATACTTGGGAGTTGTGTGAATATTTATACAGCGTGTACTTGGTCAGCCATTTCAAAGCTGAGACGAGTCACTCGCTGTAGATGAGCAATTTAGAAAATGCAGTATAACCGCTAGCTCTATAGGTCTTTAACGTGCATCACGCAGTAGTGATACACAACCGCAGGCCGGTACGATGCTCATCCAGATCGAAACGGGCAGGGGTGGGAATTGAACCCAGGTTCCCTGGGTGATTAGTACAAAACGTAAACATTGCAGGAGCTTCCTCGCTAAAAGTTTGTAATCATGCGGTTACCTGGGGCAAAAACAAATTCCCCAAGGCCCAACATGCGACGCATAGATTTTGCATCGATTCTCAGACACTCCAACGTTCAAATAAAGCTAAGAGAATTCGAAAATTGCATGCTAAATGTCTTATCGATCCTCAAACACATCCGGAAACCCGAGCACCGCTAAGGCGATATTAATTATGCTGTCGCACAGGTGCTAATATCCAGAGCGATCTTGCACAGAAAAGGTATGAAGTATCATTCTTTCAGATCTTCACGTTATATACCTACGTCAGAAAGCACGAAGAGGCCCTAAATCGTCGGCAAGCTGCGGCACATCACTACTCCGCGCACCGAACAAACTCGCATCCACCAGCTCTGGGCGCTGCCATCTTACCGATGACATCACGGCTTTTGAGAGGTCACGTGACGAGTTGTCACTCGGTTGCTACGGAAACCGAGCTAGCTCAGCTCGTTGCTATGGTACCGCGTGTAACCAATCGCGGTGAGAGGCGGCACAGGGAAAAGCGTGGCGCTACTCTGGCAGCTACGCTGCCATATCGAGTGGCTCTAGTGTGCGCTAGCCCACTCGGCCACCGATCCCCCCGCTTTTAAAGGAATGGCTATGCTTCGTGCGCATTCGGCTCTATAGAAGAGAAAGAAGAGAAGCCGGTGCGACAAGAGCGAGATGCTAGAAGGCATACATCAGCCCCTGCCAGCGTTACTTCGGGAAAAAGGTATGTACTACGTTCTCTTCCGTGTTTGTGTTTCTAACAGTGATTGTGGGGGGCTCGAGCTTATGCAAAAACAATATGCCTGCTGACAAAAAAAAATATTAACTTTGATTAAGACAGTATATTGCCTGGGTCAGGTATTAGTGTTGGTTGCGTGAGAACTACTGAAGCGACAGCGACGACGGAGTCACCGCGACAAGTCTGGCCTACAGACACGCAACAAGCCATACAAAAATCAGCTTTGTCAAGCAATCACGAAACAAAGTTATGCCTGTAGCAGCTGTCGTTTTGGTTTTTCTGGACGCTACCGAAGCAAATGCGTGAAATACTCCTACATAGCCCATATCAGGCAATCATAGGCGGACTGAATAGTAGAAAGCATGGTGGAGCTTAGAAACAACGTTCGAGCGCGTGCCCCCGCAACATTATTTATTTTAGCGATTTCGAAATTAAACTTAATATCGAACTAGGAACTCCTCAGTTTTCTTCCATATGAGCCCATTGTTATGACTTGATAGCATAAGCTTCGAACATGTGTATTTAAAATGTGGTGTCATTTTCACTTGTTTCTTGTTTTTCTGCATGCCAATAGGGCAGGCACCGAACGAAGTCACAAAAACACAACATCCTCGGTGGTGACAAACTTCCGGCTTGCCGAGTGTATTTGTGTGTACGCGCGCACAGCATAAAGATATGACCACATGAAAAATAAAGAAATCGTCAATTGGTGCAGGAAAAGAACCTAGTGTGTCATTCACTGCAAATAAAGTCGTCTGCCTACATTCCCGCTGAACACGTAGGGAGCCAATCATCTCATGTTACGGGTAAGCGCAACGAATGGCGAAGCCAAGCACTAGTTTTTGACCGGAAAACGAAGTCTGCACTGAGACCTTAAGCAATGCAAACGTCAAGTTTTGCATTGTTTGATATCACAGCGCGGACATCCTTTTTTCGTATAAACACGTGAAATTCACTGAGACGCCTTGTTAATTACAATGATACGCTCTCCAAGAGTCCTGGAGAAAGTAGACGGACGAGCTTTTTTTATAGCATTGCGTAGAACGGAATGTGAGCTATCACGAACGAGACTGAACGTCCTCCATTTTGCCATTATAGGGTACCTGCACTGTTTTCGGATACATCAGAATATATGCTGCCCAATGTAGAAACGGGACAAGCCTCCGCCGTTGGTTTACCACAGAACATGTGACGCTCTCGACGGAAC